AGAGCTCCGGGAGCAGAGGGAAGCCGCAGCCTCTGCCTGTCTGCTCTCCCAGTGCTGGAGCTCAAGGGGCGGCACTGGGCTCCAATGGGCACCTTCCTCTAGAAACTCCCGGCCACAGCTCGGAGCTGGGCACTGTGGACGGAGGGGACACAGCTTCCCGGGACGGGGGACCCAGGGGAAAGCTGCTCACCCACAGCCCCAGAGCTGCGGCTGAACGAGCAAGCACACCCAGATTCCTCGATAACTGTGACAGGATCCAAAACCACAGCTGCCTTCGGATTTGGGGACAGGACCACAGCTATGCTGAGGCAGAGGAGTCAGGAGAAGGCCCCTGGAGTCAGCACCTCCCTCTATGAGTCTGACCCGGGGGATACATTCACCCCCCAGTTCCCTCCCACGGGCGAGGGGACAGCGCAGAAGAGCAGCGACGGGCCATCAGAGGCCCCACATACTTGGCACAGTCTCTCAGGCAGGCCTTCTGCATGGCATCAATGGTGTAACGCAGGAACTCGTGCGCATCCTCCTGCCTGCCGAAGTGGATGTGCCGGGCAAACTCTGCAGGAGAGGAAGGAATCAGCCCCAGCGCGTGCTGCAACAGATGCAGGCCCTACCTCCTGCCCTTGGAGCAGGGAGTCCAGGGTTTGAGCACCCCCATCCCGACATCAGACTCATGCCAGCCACAGAGGAAGCCCCACGCAGCCCATGAAGTCACCAGCCCCCAGCAGGCTCAGTGAGTCGTCTCAGAAGAGCCTCTGCCAAGACCTGCCCCGGTCTCAAAGGTTCTGCTCCTGCATTAGTCACCGCTCTCCTGCACGGGGAGGGGAGGGGAGGGGAGCCATCCTTACTCTTGAGGTCTCGGATGAAGGACACTGGCATTATTGCGTTGCCGCTGTTGGCAAAAGCCTGGATCGTGTGGTTCTGCATAACGCACATCATGCAAAAGCCTCCTTGCTGACCTGGAGCAGGAGAGAAGACAGGACATTGGGGAGAAAACCAGGAGAGATGGAGGCAGTACAGGGGACCAGGGATCTCTGGTCCAACACTTCTTGGCTACACTCAGTTTTCCCTACGAGCTCTGTGCTACAGTACAGCTCGGGGCACCCCGGGTACGCAGGGCTCAGCACACCACCCCAGCTGGCACAGCCCGTTGTGGTACCAGCCACTGCAAACCGCCAGAGGGGACAGCACCCACATGGATGGAAAACAGGTCACAGGTACTCGCTGGAGGAGTCCACAAGTTGGCCGTGAGGAGCAGATCCCACCAGAGCCCTACGGACGAGGCTGCGAGCCCTACGTGCTCCCCTTGGTCACAGCTTGGAGCAGTGCCCATTGGGGTCTCTTTCAAAGCCACCCATAAAGAGCACCCTGCCTGTACGCAGCCTTCTGCCCTGCCTTCGTGCAGTCCCCACAGGCAGGGGCTGTTTGGGACCCCCAGGAAGCCAGCAGACCTTGTCAGGCCCATCTTTGTCCTGGCTACGCCCAGCAGAGACAAAGCCTCCCCAGACACAAGGATGCAGAGTTTGGGAACGCCACTATGGCGAGCTGCACGCAGGAACAACCTCTCGATGGAAAAACAGGCAGGCAGGAGCAGAGGTGGCACACCCTGACACCCGGACACCCCTCGCCAGAGCCACGCACGGAGGTGCTGAGCGCAGCGCTGGGAGAAGGACAGGCCGGCGCTCCTCACCACTCGGCCCCACTGATCACGAGCCGGGGTGCCCACTCACAGGTGCGGTCGTGCTCCTTGGAGAGCAGGTAGTTGGCGAGAGGCGGTGTGTAGGTCAGGCACTGCACGGTGGAGTTGAGGAAGCAGGTGTTCCCGAGGTTGTGCACCCCGGCGCCGATCCGGTGCATCTGCTCCCACTTCATGGAGAGGCGCTCCACGGGGAACAGCACCTTCTGCGGCACCGGGATCCCATCTGCCCGGACTCCCGGGGTCCGGGCGGTGCCTGCGGGGAGAGGGGCGGTGAGGCGCGGGGGCACGGAGCGTGGGGAGGGCCCC